ACTCTCCAGTCAATCCTATATATATATTGCTAACAAAGCAATCTCTTCTCAAAACACAAAATTGATCACTTCCATTTTAAAATCCTTAGCAGGCTCCCTTCAGCATGCAGTTTAAAATCCAAATTCCTTGGTTTATATACAAGGCCCTTTGGTCTGTATCCTGCCAGCATCCACTTGCATCTCTCCACACCCACACTTTGTGTACAGCCATTCTGAAGTTTAAAAAGTCATCTTTTTCCATAATTCTTTTTGCTGCGATTTCCTCTGCCTAGAATGCCCTTCTGCCACCATTTTATAATACAAATAGCATCTTCTTTGAAAAACCCTCCCTTTGGCGCGCAGTCCTTTGGGCGCTCATCACTCTGTGGACATGCAGTTATTGCTTATTGACCATGTGTACACCTTCTTTAGAAAAATGTCCATTTAAGTCCTTCTGCCCAATTTTTTAATTGGGTAGTTTGTTTTATTGTTGAGTTGTGGGAGATTTTAATGGTTAAGAAATGAAAATTCATGAAGAAAACCATGCATGAGAGCTGTGCTCCAACCTGAAATGTCCAAAATCTACACTGCACCTATTACAGTCTCAACTTCCTTTCATGAAATCCCATCCTCTCAGCCTCTAAAAGCACATATTTTAACATCTCTTTTATCCCTGATATCTAAGAGGTCACTAACCCCTCCCACATCTCCCTCTGCTTTATCACCTCTCCTTTGCCAAGGCACCAATCTTTTACCTGAACAATCACAAAATAATGCCGCTGACAACAGTCTCCCAACTCTCCAGTCAATCCTATATATATATTGCTAACAAAGCAATCTCTTCTCAAAACACAAAATTGATCACTTCCATTTTAAAATCCTTAGCAGGCTCCCTTCAGCATGCAGTTTAAAATCCAAATTCCTTGGTTTATATACAAGGCCCTTTGGTCTGTATCCTGCCAGCATCCACTTGCATCTCTCCACACCCACACTTTGTGTACAGCCATTCTGAAGTTTAAAAAGTCATCTTTTTCCATAATTCTTTTTGCTGCGATTTCCTCTGCCTAGAATGCCCTTCTGCCACCATTTTATAATACAAATAGCATCTTCTTTGAAAAACCCTCCCTTTGGCGCGCAGTCCTTTGGGCGCTCATCACTCTGTGGACATGCAGTTATTATAGAGCATTCAGAATACAGCATTTCGGTTGATCTGTCTGTTCTCCTTTCTAGGCTATGAGTCCTTCAATGGCAGAAACTACATTCACCTTTGTAGCCCCAGCATAATCTGAAACAGAGTGAGACTAAATACTTGCAGAAGGCCAGGCACAGTGGCTCACACCTGTAATTCCAGCACTTTAGGAGGCCAAGGCAGGGGGATCACTAGAGCCCAGGGGTTCAAGACCAGCCTGGACAATATAGTGAGATCCCCATCTCTATTAAAAAGTAAAAAGAATAAATGAAAAAATAAAAAGAACCACCAAAAAAAAAAATACTTGCAGGATAAGTAAAACAATGAATAGATAAAATCTGAGTCACATATACCTGGTATTATTTCACAAACAAAATAGAAAATTACCTTTCTCCATATTAGCAAGAAAATTAAATAACAAGACTGAAATTCCAAATCTTACAATTACACTTACAAGTCATCTTAAGATAAAGGAGATGATACATCTAACTGTACTTCCATAGAATCTAGTAAATAGGCAACTGTTCTTGGAGAAATTAAGATGAAAATATAGAAGCAAAGAACTACTTGGATATCATCAAATGCACTTTTCACATCTATACTAACTATATGAATTATATGGGAAAAAAATTACCATCAAAAAGATCACTGGCTTCAACACTCCAGGACACAAATACTTTTACATACGCCCTCAAATGTTGGAATAATGATTCAGTTTATCCTTTCCAATAAACAGTTAGAATACAGTGCTCATCAGGAAATAGTTAATGGCAGGTGGGAGGAGTGGAAGGAAGCAGTGTCCAGATACAAAGATTTCAGTATTTACAAAAATGAAACTTAACATTAGTCAAAGCCTCCAAAACCTCTTGTCAATCCTAATTGAACTACTATAAATGCATTAGTTTTTCCTCCAACTTTTTGTTATAAAAATTTCAGTAAGAAAAGTTGAAATAATGCAGCAAACATATTTCACCTAAATCCAACAGTCATGAAAATTTTGCCATATTTGTTTATGTGTGTGCATTTGTGTACATATGGGATTTTTGGAACGGGAATGCTGACTGTCTAAAAACAAATTGCACACACATCATGACATTTCACCCCTAAATACTTCACCATGCCTTTTCTAAAAATAAAGATGTTCTCCTATAAAACCATAAAACCATCATCCCTAAGAAAAAAATAACACTTCTCTAACATCAGCTACTGGCCAGTAATTTTCAACCTTCCCAAATTTTCCCCAAAAATATCTTTTTAGCTAGTTTTCTAAAACCAGGACTCAATCAAAGTTCATTTAACAAGGTTCAAAAAATACGGCATTTGGTGATATCTCTTTAGTCTCTTTCAATGTAGAACAGTCCCCACCTTTTTCTCTTTCTCCATGACTTTTTAAAAGAAACCGAAATGTAGACTATAAACTTTTTATAGTGGAAAATTTCAAATAAATACAAAGTAAATAGAATAGGATAATGAATCCCCATCAGCCAGTTTTAATAATTATCAAGCTTGGCAGGGCATGGTGGCTCACGCCTGTAATCCCAGCACTTTGGGAGGCCAAGGTGGGGACATCACGAGATCAGGAGATCGAGACCATCATGGCTAACACAGTGAAACCCCAGCTCTACTAAAAATACAAAAACAAAATTAGCCGGGCGTGGTGGCAGGCGCCTGTAGTCCCAGCTACTCGGGAGGGTGAGGCAGGAGAATGGCATGAACCCGGGAGGCGGAGCTTGCAGTGAGCCGGGATAGCGCCACTGCATTCCAGCCTGGCAACAGAGCAAGACTCCATCTCAAAAAATAAATAAATAAATAATAATCAAGCTTTAGCCATTCTTATCTCATCTATTTCCTTATCTCATGATATTTTAAAATATAATCCTCTAGTGCCTATATTTCCTTAAACAGGAAGTTAGGTCTAAATATTCATATTTTGGGGAAGAAAACTTAGTAGATGACATCATGTACTTCATTCCGCATTACAGCTAGAAGCACATAATATTCCTTCATGTCACTATTAATTATGCTAAACTCAATCACTTGATTGAGGTGGAGACTGACAAATAACTCCAAAGTAGAAGTACATTTGTTCCTTCACATTTACCAAGTAATCCACAGGGTGGTATGTTGGTGCCATGGTAATATTCTTTCGACCAACAGTGTTAGTATCCATTTACAATCCTTGTTTGAATCAATTATTGCACTGGAGGTTACAAAATGGTGATTTTCTAATTCTACAATTCCTTTTACATTTATTAGCTAGCATTCTTCTGTAAGTGTTTTCCTTCATCAAATGAAGATGAACTGCATGTCTTCCTGAAAAAATATGGCAAACGCTTAATTCTCTCCCTTTCATTATCAACTTTCAGAACGGTTATAATAGTCAACTGCAACGGTTGCAAAGCAGATTTTTTCCTTTCTCTCTATCATTATGAACCCCACAATTTTTATTTATTCAAATCTTTGCAATCAATTATAGTAATCATGTGTTAAAATATTTCTGTACCCTTAATGTTTTATAAGTTTTTGCTGGCAATAACAAAGTGAATTAATTAAGGACAGGGTGTTTAAAGATTATCATTTAAGTGACAAAGGAGAGTGTAAAAAAAGTAATGATATATAAAATTAAATTTTTTTTTCCTGCCATTATCTTCACATTACATTATGTCATGTTACAATGTACATCCAGCTGTTGAGATCATTATGCTGGTTTTACCATTTCTGTTAAATTTTAAAACAAGAATTTTTTTTAAATTGCATTAAATAGTGAATCAAATGCTAAAATTCAAATCAACTCACCTGCTGAACAGGACTGTCAACTGTAAATGCTTTATAAACTGCCAATGCCTGGCTTTTACTTCCTTTGCTCCATATCACCATATTTCCGGCAACATAGAGTTCCTCATCATAGTCCACGTCTTCTCCAATTTCACTCACTCCTTTCCTTAACTGCCAGCTTTCCTTAAAAATTAACACATGTAAAACATATTCAAGAACTCTGGTTTTCAAAAATCTGGAACAAAATTTATTTGCCCATGGAGTAAGCACAACTAGAAAGTTTCGTATACTGTTTAACAGAGGATGTGGATATAGGCATTACATTACAGAATTTCATGAAGAATTTACTCAATAATTCTCTATATTGAATGTTTTATATTATTCCTCTGCATTACTCTGCCAAAAACAAAAATGAACAAAAAGTACACCTTCTCTACCGTTCCAAAAGTCAAATCACACGTTTGGGAGACTAAAAGGACATATTAAGTACATGAGGTAGGGCAGATAAAGGACAGTGAGGTGCACATGGGAATCACTCGGCAAATTTATGAACAAGGCAGACTTCCTGCTTTGCAGCCACATATATATTTACCTTCTTTTCCTTTGTCCCACTTACCAAAATGAATGGATAAGAAGTAGTTTCCATTTTTAACTACATAGGCTTTCCCTTCCTGAGATTTTAGTATCCCAAAGGGATATGAAAATGGAATAAGGCAGGAGGTATACATTTTCTGACACACACTTACATCTCATTCCCCTACTTACCACTCATTCCTCGGCCGGGCGCGGTGGCTCACGCCTGTAATCCCAGCACTTTGGGAGGCCGAGGGGGGCGGATCACCTGAGGTCTGGAGTTTGAGACCAGCCTGACCAACATGGAGAAATCCCACCTCTACTAAAAAAATACAAAAGCAGCTGGGCATGGTGGCGCATGCCTGTAATCTCAGCTACTTGGGAGGCTAAGGCAGGAGAATCGCTTGAACTCAGGAGGCAGAGGTTGCGGTGAGCTGAGATTGTGCCATCGCACTCCAGCCTGGGCAACAAGAGTGAAACTCCGTTTCAGAAAAGAAAAAAAGAAAAAAAATGATTATGCTACCTACTTTTGTAGCATTTCTTCTCTCCTTTAGAAACATGTAAATCTTCTGCAGCAGGGACTTATTTCTAATCTCTACCATTTAATCATTAAATAACATGAAATCTGGTCCCCACATACGAAGAGAAAAGAAAAAGGTTTAAAATGGACAATCATACTACTGAATCTGACTCACATTATAAAATCACAAGTTATAGAGAGTATCTACATAAGTTGCTATGACAATATAATAAAGTCATTATTTTCAACATTTATTGAAATTACCACACCTTAACGCTACCCTAGAAGTGGCATCACACTGATTTCTCAGTTGCCTCTCAGTAGCCTTAAATTACAAGTAGATTATATCACTCTACATTTCAAAAACGCAATGGGAAACTCAATGGAACCTTCTGTTTCTCGTGGATTGTAACCTCCTGAAGGGATCCCACCAAGCCAGCAGCACCATCAGAAGACCATAATTCAGAGGCTGGCTGCAGCTGGCGAAGTTGAAGGTTCAAAGCATTAGGGTGGTGCTTGCAGTGGTCTCGACCAAAAGGAACAAATTCCTGTAAATCCCTGGCTGCAATCATCGTTGCCCTTTCTTCATAGAAGTTCGACATGGGTTCCAAATATCAACATTATTTCTGTATGAATTCAAACACATTCTGGTTAGCTTCCAGACTCAAAACTAGAATAAAAATACCATAAACACGTAAGTCATTAATCCTTACAAGGGTGTCAAGTAATTATATCAGATTGGTAAGTACATAAGTGGTCATAACATAAAAGGGTGTTTTAGATCTGATTCTTTCAGACAACTGCAATTATCACATTTTAGTCAACAGACTGACAGTTACCACTATAGGAAACCACTGAGATGCGACAAGTAATTATGTCCCGCACCACCTATCCCATGTTTCCTACTACTATATGCTAATTTTTCCATACTTTATATATGAAGTATTTAGACAAGTTGTATTCTATAGTCCCATAACTACATGGCTTCTCAACATTTAAGGTCATTTCTGGTTAGATGCCAGAACCTCATCTGAAAAGTACATCTAAGGGATCACTGTCATGTTGGAATAAAACAATAAAAAATCACATATTACTCTAATTCATCAGAGGTTGAACTGCTTTCAGGTGACCAATCTACAAAAGACATAAGTTATCAAATGTCGTAAGTAGCTGTGATACCCCCAATCCCACCTAAATATATAACTACAATCAGTTTCAGTTATTGGTCGAAACCCAAAGAACTGAAGCATGAATAACTCTAGCCATGGAACACTTATGCTTGTAGATTTAAGGGTACTAGGTTTTAATTAATTATTATATCTAATTAATCTAATTATTAATCGATTACAGTACAGTTTATTACTAAAAAAAAAAGTGGATAAACTGTTAAAGCCTTCATCACAAGGTTAGGAAGAAGTCAGACTTTAGACAAAAGTACAGATAAGCATAATTAGACTACCCTTTGACCCACTTTCCTGTACCTGCTTATATATACCACGTTCCTATAGATAGTATTTTTAATGTTAGGAGCCTAAGACTTTTGAGCTGATAAAAGCTAGTCTTAAGACCCCATCAAGGAACCACATTAGCATGAGAATGTGATTTATCTCTCTGTCCTATGACTTCATCCTTCACTCTCTGACCAATTAATACCTTAGCCCACTATCCTCCAAACTCTTTAAAACCTCGAGACTGGGGGCCAGGCGCGGTGGCTCACGCCTGTAATCCCAGCACTGTGGGAGGCCGAGGCGGGCAGATCACGAGGTCAGGAGATCAAGACCATCCTGGCTAACACGGTGAAACCCTGCCTCTACTAAAAATACAAAAAATTAGCCAGGCGCGGTGGCAGGCGCCGGTAGTCCCAGTTACTGGGGAGGCTGAGGCAGGAGAATGGCGTGAACCCGGGAGGCAGAGCTTGCAGTGAGCCAAGATCACACCACTGCACTCCAACTCCAGCCTGGGTGACAGAACAAGACTCTGTCTCAGAAAAAAAAAAAAAAAAAAAAACTCTTTGGGGAGGCTGACTTGAAGTTTCCTGTCTCCTAGTTCAGTGGCCCTGCAAGTAAAACACTTTATCTGCTGCAATCCCCGTTGTTCCCGTGTATTGACTTGCTGCTTATAGGGCAAGAGACCTATATGGTTACACAAACCACCCAAAGCCTATGTAGTTCTTTTGCAGCTCCTCCAAAGCCACAAGTTATTTTTACTGTGAATTAAATGTTATTCTTGGCTGGGCGCCATGGCTCATGCCTGTAATCCCAGCACTTTGGGAGGCCAAGGCAGGCGGATCACCTGAGGTCAGGAGTTCGAGACAAGCCTGGCCAACATGGTAAAACCCCGACTCTACTAAACATAAAAAAAAAAAAAAAAATTACTCAGGCATGGTGGTGGGCGCCTGTAATCCCAGCTACTTGGGAGGCTGAGGCAAGAGAATCGCTTGAACCTGGGAGGCAGAGGTTGCAGTGCGCCAAGATGGCGCCATTGCACTCCAGCCTGGGGGACAAGAGCGAAAATCTGTCCCGAAAAAAAAAAGTTATTCTTGATATAATTATGTCACAAAACATGATACAAGTTTTGTTTTTCCTCCTGCTAGAAATAAATGAGTACTGGGAACACTTGAACTTGGAACACAACCAAAAAGTGCCTTAAAAAACTTACAAGGGGCCAGGCGCGGTGGCTCATGCCTGTAAATCTCAGCACTTTGGGAGGCCGAGGCGGGAGGATCACGAGGTCAGGAGTTCAAGATCAGCCTGGCCAAGATGGTGAAACCCCATCTCTACTAAAAATACAAAAATTAGCCAGACGTGGTGGTGGGCACCTGTAATCCCAGCTACTCGGGAGGCTGAAGCAGAGAACTGCTTGAACATGAGAGCCGGAGATTACAGTGAGCCGAGATCACACCGCTGCACTCCAGCCTGGGCGACAGAACAAGACTCTATTTCAAAAAAAAAAAAAAAAACTTAAAAGAAAACAACAAAATTGAGCTGGTTTTCCTATATTTTATTCAACAGGACAACCAACATCAACAAACTTTTGACTTTATGAAACTTTAGTTCTGTAATTTTATAATGTTATTTTCTTATAACTGAGAAAATCACAGAATGGTTAAAGAATTATTTATCATTTTGTACCTATTAAAGCCACATATTTAATACTTTTACAGTACCCCAAACTTTTAGACATGTTTTTACTTATTAGGGGCAACACAAACAGCTATACATAAAAATACTATTAAATTCATATGCTATAAATAACAGTATCAGCAATGATTCCTACAAACACTACCCTGCCAAAAAAAAAAAAAAAGAGTCCCAAATGCACACTAACGGGAGCTTAAGTCTCCAGTCTTCACAAAAAAGGAAGAGCTTCGCCAGCCGTTCTGGAAGACGGTGAAAACAGGCTAAGAGCTCGAGCCTCAGAAAATCAGCTCAGAGGGACTGGGGGGCCAATCTAGAAGCTGAGGCTGCACATGGATATGCTGCGCGCAGCTCATAAAAGACTTTGGCAACCAATGAGCTGGAAGGAGCCCCCTCAGCCCCGGGGCAAGCTCAGCGCCCTCCCTCAGGTTCCCAGTCCCCCGGGTTCCCAGACCTACGGCCACGAGGGGAGGATAGGCCTCGGGGCGGATGCAAGAGTCACGCGGCGCGCGACAGACCACCAAGTGCTGCGGTACAGGGCCCGCACCTGTATAACTCGGGACGCGTCAGGCGCGGCGAGCCCCGGCTGCTCCCCGGAGGCGCAGGGGCCGAGGAGGCCCTAGGGCAGCGGCGGGGTCCGTCACAGTGACTCCTCGGCCGTGGCAGCTTCTCATTCCCTCTCCCTCCCCTATTCCGGAGGAAGAATGGGCAACAGCACCGGGCGCCAGTGCTAATGGCAGGAAGGCATGCGAGACGTTCAAATGGACGCGTCCATCTTGACTTTCCCGTCCTGCCTCGCGCCAGGGCGGGGCATCGCGGTAGGCGCGCGGCGTCCTAGCAGTCCTAGCGCCTGCGCTGTTGCGGGACCTCGACAGGGTAGAACTTGGGGGCTCTTTCCTCCGTGCGATTGATCTGAACCCCGAAGCTGGATTCTGCCTACTAGAGTCCGTACAGTGATGGGATCCTCCTGGCGTCCAAGTTCTCTTTAGCTCATGTCACTGGGGACCTGAACTGCCTCATAGATCTAAAGGTTTTTTCTGTCTGGTTTCGCTTCCGCCTCCTGACCCCACGTGGAGGTAGGCACCTCTAGGTTGATGGCGGGGAGCAGGGGTTGCTGATTTTCTCTACGTGCAGTGCTCTATGCCTTTTTCTGTCCATGCTCTTCTTCGAATAGTCGATGAACGGTGTGAAGGTCCTCACAGAAACGTTGCTTGCAATTCCCAGATTCAGAAACACTTCTTGAGGCAATTCAAAGACCCAAGTTAAGAACCCCAGCGACCACTCGCGCCTGTAATCCCAGCACTTTGGGAGGCGAGGCTAGAGGATTGCTGGAGCCCAAGAGTTTGAAACCAGCCTAGGCAATATAGCAAGACTCTGTCTGCACAAAAGAAAAATTTTAAAAATTAGCCTGGCGTCGTGGTGCGCACCTGTAGTCCCAGCTGCTTGGGAGTCTGGAGGATCACTTGAGCCGGGAGTTTGAGGCCACAGTGAACTGTGATCGCGCTACTGCACTCCAGCTCGGGCAACAGAGCAAAACCTTGTCTCCAAAAAAAAAACAAAAGAATGGGTTATAGGAGAAAGGATAGAAACAAAGATTCGTGAAAGTTAAATAAATACAAATATACCTAATTGATATTTTAAGCTTTTGTGTGTGTGTTTTTCTTGAGACGGAGTCTCGCTCTGTCACCCAGGCTGGAGTGCCGTGGCGCGATCTCGGCTCACTGCAACCTCCGCCTCCCGGGTTCAAGCGATTCTCCTGCGTCAGCCCTCCGAGAAGCTGGGATTACAGGCGCCCGCTACCACGTCCAGCTAATTTTTGTATTTTTAGTAGAGACTGGGTTTCACCACGTTGGCCAGGCTGGTCTCAAACTCCTGTCCTCGTGATCCTCCCGCCTCGGCCTCCCAAAGTGCTGGGATTACAGGCGTGAGCCACTGGGCCCAGCCAATATTTTAAAATTTTTTTTTTTTTAAAGTTTAGATTTACAGAAAAATTTCAGATAGTTCCAAAATTTCCCACATACCCTATACCCAGTTTCTACATCCAGTTTCCCTATTATTAGTATTTTACATTAGTATAGTGCATTTGTTAAAATTAATGAAATATCAACACATGACTAATTAAAATTCATACTTTGTTCAATTTTTTTTAAGAGTCTTGCTGTGTTGCCTAGGCTAGAGTGCATTGGCACAAACACAGCTCGCTGTAGCCTTGAACTCCTGTGCTCAAGCAGTCCTCCTGCTTCAACCCCCCAAGTAGATGAGACTCTAGGTGTAAGCCACTGCATTAGTTGTAGAATATCCCTTAACTGGAATTCGTCTGATGTTTCTTCATGATTAGCCTGGGGATATGGATTTGGGGAAGGAAGATCATAGAGATAAAGTGTCATTTTCATCACATCATATCAAAGGTACTTATCAACAGCATCGCTTATCGCTGCTGATATCAACCTTGATCACCTAACTGAGATAGTGTTTGTCAGATTTCTCTACTGTGATGTTACCATTTCCCCACTTTCCATACTGTACTCTTTGGAAGGAAGACTGTATGTGCAGCCCTCAGTTACAGAGTGAGGCCAGTGATTTTGTTGTTGTTGTTTTACAAACTTGCAAAAGCCAATAAAGGAGGGAAGCATCTTTTCAACACTTAGTGTTGCAATATTTGGATATTCATATGGCAAAAATGAATCTTGATTTGCACTACACACCATATACAACAATTAAAGTGCATCGAAGACCTAAATATGAGAGTAAAGCTGCCGGGCGCGGTGGCTCACGCCTGTAATCTCAACACTTTAGGAGGCCAAGGCAAGCGGATCACCTGAGGCCAGGAGTTCAAGACCAGCCTGACCAACATGGTGAAATGTCATCTCTACTAAAAATACAAAAAAAAAAAAAAGCCAAGCATGCTGACAGGCACCTGTAATCCCAGCTACTCGGGAGGCTGAGGCAGGAGAATCACTTGAACCCAGGAGGCGGCGGTTGCAGTGAATTGAGATCATGCCATTGCAATCCAGCCTGGGGGACAAGAGCGAGACTTCGTTTCAAAAATAAAAAAATAAAGAGTAAAGCTATACACTTACAAGAAAACATAGATGTAAATCTTCATAACCTTGGATTAGGCAATGATGTCTTAAATATGGTACCTAAAGCACAAGGAACCTAGGAAAATAATTGATAAATTGGAGAAAAGTTTTAAATTTTGTGCTTCAAAGGTATTGTCAAGGAAGTGAAAAGAACTCACAGAATGGGAGAAAAGATTTGCAAATAATCTGATAAGAGTCTATTATGCAAAATATGTGAAGAAGTCTTACAACTCAACATAAAAAGACAACCCAATCTAAAAATGGGCAGAGGATTTGAATATACATTTTCCCAAAAATATATTATACAAGTGGCCAAAAAGGACAATAAAAGATGACCAACATCATTAGTCATTAGAGAAATAAAAGCCAAAACCACTTCTCACCCAGTAGGATAGCTATCATCAAAAAGAGAGACAATAACAAGTGTTGATGAAGATTTAGAGTTATTTGACCCCTTGTACATAATTGATGGGAATGTAAAATGGTGCAGCCACTTGGTAAAACAGTTTGACAGGTTCTAAAAAAGTTAAACGCTCGTCTCTGTATTTAACGCTGGCTCTTCTCTGCCAGAAGATGGCGGCGGCCGCCAAGTTGTCACTACTGGAGAAGTTCCTGGAACTGAATAAGGGGAATAATAAATAAAGGGCTCAGGGTGTGTGACAGATTCCGGTTTTTCAAACAAACAATGGTCCAAGTCTAACGGGATTGACTACTATAGCAGCTCATCTCGTCAAGCAAGCTAACAAAGAATATTTCCTGGGGAGTACTGCAGAAGAAAAAGCAATCGTTCAGCAATGGTTACAATACAGGGTCACTCCAGTAAAAATGATATCCACACACTGTTTTGTTTTTTGTTCTTTGTTTTTTGTTTTTTGTTTTTGAGACGGAGTGTCGCTCTGTTGCCCAGGCTGGAGTGCAGTGGTGTGATCTCTGCTCACTGCAAGCTCCGCCTCCTGGGTTCATGCCATTCTCCTGCCTCAGCCTCCCAAGTAGCTGGGACTACAGGTGCCCGCCACCACGCCTAGCTAATTTTTTTGTGTTTGTTATTAGAGACGGGGTTTCACCGTGTTAGCCAGGATGGTCTCGATCTCCTGACCTCATGATCCGCCCGCCTCAGCCTCCCAAAGTGCTGGGATTACAGGCGTGAACCACAGCGCCTGGCCCACGCCCTGTTGAAGGATCTTATTTCATATCTTGAAGATAAAGTCTACCTTACAGGATATAATTTCACTTTTGCAGATATCTACTATGGACTTCATCGCTTTATAGTTAGTTGACCTGACAGTTCAAGAAAAGGAGAAATATCTTAATGTGTCTCACTGGTTTTGTCACATTCAGCATTATCCAGACATCAGGCAACATCTGCCTAGTGTTGTCTTCATCAAGAAGAGACTATATACTAATTCCCACTAGAAGCTATCCATGCCGTACAGAAGATGTATGAAAAATATTTTAAATGGAAAATGTATTCTGACCACAGGACTGATATAAATTAACATACAGTCATTCATTCATTATTTGTTGAAGTTGATAGAATTTTTAAAGTGTAAACTTGTGTCTGAATGTTTTATTTGTTCTGTAGTTGAAGTTTTGCAAATTTTTATGTAAAAATTTAACTGCTATTAAAAAAACAAGTTGAGATCAAGTTATAAATTAACCTTGTTTTTAATAAGTGACATTTATTTCAATAAAAGTTGCAAATCAGTGGCTTAATCTTAAAAAAAAAAAAAATAGGTGGTCCTTTCAGTGGTTGACATATTTGGCTATTTATTAACCTCTTTTCATATTCTCAAATTTATATTCCCTTTTTGGGTATTCATGGAAGTTTGTTAAGAACTGTGATTAAAAAAAAAAAAAAAAAAAAGAGCCAGGCACGGTGGCTCACATCTGTAATCCCAGCACTTTGGGAGGCCGAAGCAGGCGGATCACGAGGCCAGAAGATGGAGACCATCCTGGCTAACACGGTGAAACTCATCTCTACTAAAATTACAAAAAAACTAGCCGCACGAGGTGGCGGGCGCCTGTAGTCCCAGCTACTCGCAAGGCTGAGGCAGGAGAATAGCGTGAACCTGGGAGGGGGAGCTTGCAGTGAGCTGAGATTGCGCCACTGCAATCTCAGAGTGAGACTCTGTCTCAAAAAAAAAAAAAAAAAAAAACTGTGATAAATTGTGCCAAGGAAACAGAAAGGGAAGACAGATTGATTTGTTTTTAAATATTTATGTGAGCTAGTAAATGTGGTTGAAAACATTTTTTTTTTAAAGTTAATCACAGAGTCACCCTATGATCCACCAATTCCACTCCTAGGTATATACCCAAGAGAACTGAGTATACATTCACACAGGCACTTTTACGTGACTGTTCATAGTTTTATCATTCAAGATAGCCAAGAAGTTAAAACAACCCAATGCTCATTAACTGATGAATGGGTTAAAATAATACGGTAATATGGGTATATGTATATAGCAAAATATTATTCAGCTATAGAAGGGAATTTTTTTTTTTTTTTTTTTTGAGACGGAGTCTCGCTCTGTCACTCAGGCTGGAGTGCAGTGGCGCAATCTCGGCTCACTGCAAGCTCCGCCTCCTGGGTTCATGCCATTCTCCTGCCTCACCCTCCTGAGTAGCTGGGTCTACAGGCACCCGCCACCACACCTGGCTAATTTTTTGTATTTTTAGTAGAGACGGGGTTTCACTGTGTTAACCAGGAGGTCTCGATCTCCTGACCTCGTGA